GAGATAAAGTAGGAAAGAAAGAAAAAAATTGTCATTTAACTTAGTTGTCTGTCTTGAACCTCCTTAGTTTTGACAAGTCATTAAACTGTGGGCACTCTCCCCCCTCCTCCCATGTGCCCATCTATATTTTGAAATTTAAAAAAAAAAATTGAGTTGTTATAATAAAGATGTAATAAGAGGCCTGGCATTTCTTTTAAATTGTGAGGAAATTTTTATGTTTAAAATAAGATTTTTAAAAATCCATTAAAAATATAGGAAGCAAATGAGATGTTCTGAAGGGAGTACCTTAGTAGTAATGGCCAAGGTTGGGCATGTCCAAGTCAGTTCAATTTGTTGTATTTTAGTTCCGGTTCTTCATTTCCTCCTACCATGGGTATAACTTCACTTAGCCTTAAAAAGACAATCACGCACAAACTGTTTTCTAAGGGAAATGAAATGTGGCAAGAATGAGCTTTTATCATGGTGGGATTGGTGTGTTGGCCTTTTTGAGAGCGAACGTTCAGGCAGTAATAGATGATTTATCTTGATTTCTGTGAGATTGTGCGAAATGTTGAAAGCATCTGGTTTTTATAAGAATCTACTTAGAATTATTCTTTCCGCTAGTGTAGTCTTTCTCTGAAAGGTATTTCATAGAAATAAACAGCATATTGTTTTCCTAGTTAAAAAATAGCTCGTAAGTTCTGGTTTGGATTGTGAGAAGAGTTTCCCTTTGGAGATGGACTGGTGCTTGCTTTGCATTTGGCTCAGTGGACTGGCTCCCTTCCATTCTGTGAGGGGCACTTCTCCATTCCGAGCTGTGGCCCCACGTGCTGCCTTTGGACGCAACAGTTAGCACGTTCCTCCACTTGAAGGCTTACCATTCAATAGGAGCCTGTAAAGTTCTGAAACGGAAAGGTAATCTGAACAATCTGACAGCAGAACTCTCCAGAAAGCGCCCAAGCCATGTTTAATTAGGTAGCAGTGCAGGACATTCTCCCTTCACAAAAGGTGGGGAAGAGAGGGAGGGGGTGAGAACAATTGGCATTTATCTGACCTGCTGCCCAGCCCAGCCCCCAAGCCCAGCTGGAGCTGGCTGGCCCCGCATTCTGCAGGCAGCCTGCAGTTTTTGAAACACCCCAAATGTTCCAGCCTTTAAATAGCAGCGAGTCTTCTAAAACGCTGCTGCGTACTGCAAGAGGAATTAAAGCGGCTGCCTTGCAGGCAGGAAGCCGACAAGCAAGATGCTTAATTATCGTGGAAGTAAGTGCTTGTTACCACTGCGTGGAGCGGGGAGCGAGGCTCATCCTCAGGGTGTCGGCGTGATTTGTAGACAATGCAGCCCTGTCAGTGCAGTGCTGGGTCAGCAGCATCTTCCCAACATGGATTTGGCAAGAATCTAAAGGCCACCCCTTGTGTCGTGTGTGGAGCTTGGGAAAGGGTCCTCTGCCTTTATTTCCGGGATGCACGCCACCGCGCAGGGTTCTGTGCTCGGGATTTGTGCCTCTCCCTCCTGACTGCTGTGCACCGAGGAAGTTGGTCTTCAAGGCCCTCGCCTGGAAGGATGCTGACAGCTCTTGGTCGCTCTTGGGGAGTCTGCAGAGGTCTCGCTACGGCAGAGGTCTAGTTTCTGCTTTCTTCATAAATGAGCGCCGAAGGGTGGGGTGGGTTGCAGTGCCTAAGGAAATGCAGACATTTTGTTAATTAGTGAACTAGCTCCAGCTTTAGGAATAGATGAAACTGGAGAGAGCTTGGCAAGAGGTGGTGGCAAATGCCGGATTCATTCTGAAATGTTCCTCCTCCGGTAAGTAATAGAGGATAACACAGAAGCGTGCTGGGTAGAGTGGCTCTCGGAAAACGCTGTTTATTTTCTCTCTGTTGTATTGGCTCTTGCCAACTATGTTAAAGCCTTTCTAAAAAAAAACAAAAGACAAATTAGGACTTTGAAATATAGATGTTAAAAAGTGAGTGCTGCTACATACTAAATAAAATGACTTTTCAATTTTTAGTCTTGTTAAAAAAAAACAGACTATGTATTGTTCAAGTACTGAACTCTGTGGGTTATGTCTCAAAACTTTTGGTCAGCGCAGTTGCTGGTGATGTGCTGCATTCTGGAGGTCGTTGGAGTCTGTAATTGGTCTGCCCTGGGAGTTGGAGCCTTAGTGTCCTGGAATGAGATCTCCCCACTCCCCGTTCTATGGAATAGCTCAATTAAGCTGAAGTATTAATACTCTTTTAAAATATATATACTTCAAAAGATGGATTTCATTAAACGCTTTCACTTTCTTTCAAACCTGCTTTGATAAAATACTGGGGCATGAGCTTTGAACCACATTCATTGTGGAGTCTTTTACTTTCATGTGTCTGGTTTTGGCAATTGCATATTTATTTTTAGATGTATTTATCAAATGCTAATTCCAATTGTCCTTCTCTTTCAGAGAAAGCATGGGATTATAGCAACCACAGAGTCCCAGTAATACAAGTTCCATTCAGTTTTTTCTGAAAGAAAGCCATCTATTAAAGTGAAGCAAAGGAACGATTGTGGATTATAATGTTCTGAAGATCTGGATTTTCAGAAGCTTGAAAATAAGGCATCGTTTAACCTTTTAAATGAAAAAGAGTAAGATCTCATGCAACTGCTGTATTTGCTGGAAACTGTTCTCCGAAAGGGAAGTGCACATTTAGAGCTGGAGATGATGGTCCTTTCCGCAGGGATTTAGGTCTGACCGCTTTCCCATCATGACCAGCTTGAAACGGTCGCAGACGGAGAGGCCTATTGCCACGGACAGGGCCTCGGTGGTGGGCACCGATGGCCCTCCCAAAGTCCACACTGACGACTTCTACATGCGGCGTTTCCGGTCCCAGAACGGCAGCCTGGGATCCTCGGTCATGGCTCCGGTAGGGCCCCCCCGCAGTGAAGGTCCTCACCATATCACCTCGACCCCCGGAGTCCCAAAGATGGGGGTCAGGGCTAGGATCGCAGATTGGCCCCCACGGAAGGAAAACGTCAAAGAATCTAGCCGTTCAAGTCAGGAAATAGAAACCTCAAGTTGCCTTGAGAGCATGTCCTCCAAAAGCAGTCCCGTGAGTCAGGGAAGTTCTGTTAGCCTCAATTCCAGTGACTCAGCCATGTTGAAAAGCATACAGAACACGCTGAAAAGCAAGACGAGACCATTGGAGAGCATGGACTCCAGATTCCTCATGCCTGAAGCCTACCCCAGCTCCCCCAGAAAGGCTCTTCGCAGAATCCGGCAGCGGAGCAACAGCGACATCACCATAAGTGAACTTGATGTGGATAGCTTCGATGAATGTATCTCACCCACCTACAAGACTGGGCCCTCCCTGCACAGGGAGTATGGTAGCACCTCTTCAATCGATAAGCAGGGAACGTCTGGAGAGAGCTTCTTTGACTTGTTAAAGGGCTACAAAGATGACAAATCCGACCGAGGCCCAACTCCAACCAAGCTCAGTGACTTTCTCATTGCAGGTGGGGGCAAGGGTTCTGGTTTCTCTTTGGATGTTATAGATGGGCCCATCACACAAAGAGACAACCTCAGGCTCTTCAAGGAAAGGGAAAAACCACTCAAGCGACGGTCCAAGTCTGAAACTGGAGACTCATCCATTTTTCGTAAATTACGCAATGCCAAAGGTGATGAACTTGGGAAATCATCGGATCTTGAAGATAACCGGTCAGAAGACTCCATCAGACCTTGGATGTGTCCAAAGTGCTTTGCCCACTACGATGTCCAGAGTATATTATTTGACTTGAACGAGGCGATCATGAACAGGCACAATGTTATTAAGAGGAGAAACACCACCACGGGGGCTTCGGCAGCTGCTGTAGCGTCCTTGGTTTCAGGACCTTTGTCCCACTCAGCCAGTTTTAACTCCCCGATGGGCAGCACGGAAGACCTGAATTCCAAAGGAAGCCTCGGCATGGACCAGGGCGATGATAAAAGCAATGAGCTTGTAATGAGCTGTCCGTATTTTCGGAATGAGATAGGTGGAGAAGGTGAAAGGAAAATCAGCCTGTCGAAGTCAAACTCTGGCTCCTTTAGTGGGTGTGAAAGTGCCTCCTTTGAGTCTGCACTCAGCTCCCATTGCACAAACGCAGGAGTGGCAGTGCTTGAAGTGCCCAAGGAGAACCTGGTGTTGCATCTGGACCGCGTGAAACGGTACATCGTGGAGCACGTGGACCTCGGCGCCTACTATTACAGGAAATTCTTCTTTCAGAAGGGTGAGTAGTTCTTTCTGAAAGAGTACTATTTGTTTTGTTTGTTTTTAAGTTGTGTGACATGAGATTTTCTTGTTTTTTCTCTTGATGGTAAAGTAGTTAAATGGGTATTTGCTGTGATGTATTTCTCTTTGTGATGTATTTCTATTTGCATTTTTATGAATTCCTTTAAGGTATTAAAATGTCTCGTATATTAAATACTCATTTTTTTAAAAAAAACATCTGATTTAGTGAATGAGGTATATAATCTTTGTGTAGAAGACTTGTGTATCCTTTAGGAATAAATGTTAAAGTTGAAAATATTTTAAATATAGTTTTATATTAAGGGATACAAAAACCATCTTAATGCTGCCTTTCATTAATGTAACACTTTTGCAATTAGTGCAGGACCATTGCTTTTCCGCCTCAATGTTCTCATCAGTTAATGGGAATTGTAATACATCTCTCTTTGTTTCACAGGCATTTTAGTGGGAGTTAATTACATTATTTGATAAAAGTCACAGAGCCAGTAAGTTTCAGAGCCAGGAATCAAATTTTGGTCTTCTGTATTTGAACATGTTGGTGACTTCCTTTCTAGTCTTTTTTGTTCTTGGGTGTGTATACACACACACACACACACACATTGTTGGGTTATAGTTTGTGTACCATTTTATCTCAGACTTTTAAGAAAGGCCCTGTGATTTGTTAAAAAGTCAATAGTTTAAATGAACGCGTAAGAGCTTTCTAATAGTGTTTTTGAGCAGCATTATTAATTGAAGAATGAGTTTGTCATATAAGCACCCAAGCTGGGAAACAGGATGCTGACCAGGGAGGGATATGCACTGTGGTCCGCTGGCTGGCTCAGTAACCTCTGCAGCCAGGTTGAGAGGCCCTGTATGCAGATGACTAAAGCAATGTTTTGATTTCCCACTTATTGTTTTGGAGTTTTTGAATCTTATTTAGACTTATTTTTCTGAATGACAGTACATTTCTAGTACTCATTATGGCTTTAGACTAAAACTTACCGTAAGGTTATTAGATGATAGGCCCTATTTTAGAGGGTCTCCTATTGACAAGGAGAATCTTAACTTGTTACAAGTACATACTAGTATGTCTCCTAAATATTTGAGGCAATGCTTCTGGAATTAATATGATAATGAAGACCCCAATTTCATTTTTAAGCATCCTTTATTCTCTTGGGATAATTTCCTGGAGTAGATTTTAGAAATCACTTTTTCTTATACTGTCCTTTAAGCTATAAGGTTTCTCAGTGTTGCCATCTTGGCATTTGGGGCCAGACAGTTCTTTGGAGGGGGGCTATCCTATGCATTGTAGGATGTTCAGCAGCACCCCAGGCCTCTATGCCCTAGATGCCAATGTGTGTCCTCTCCCCCTTCCCCAGTTGTGACAACCTAAAATATCTCCAGGCATTGCCAAATATTCCTTAGGCAGTATTATTGCACCTAGCTGAGAATGCCTGATCCATTGTACCTGGGGAAATTTTCACAGGTGTTTCTTAGCTGTCTGTGGGTGAAGGCCATCTTGCTGAAAATTGACATTTCAGGTCCAACACAAGAAAGAACATATTAGTTACAATCTCTTTTTATGTAGTAGTAGGTACTTTCCCCCCATTAGGCAGTATGGTAACAGTAATAATAAACATTTTCAAGTACTTACTATGTACCAGGAACTTTTGATATGACATGCATATTCTCATTTCAGCCTCTCTGCCCACTGTGGTCGGGATTGCTGTTGGTGACATTTTTCAGATGAGAACACTGGGCTTAAGTGACATTAGTGGTTTAGCTGTCATGGAGCTAGTAATGTTGGAATCGGGATTCCACCTCTGAGTCTGACCAGTCATGTTCTTAACCCCTGGGCTCAGCTCTCTACTGTATTAATGTAAAAGGAAGGAGTGTATGTTTATGTTTAAATCTGATAGAAATTTGTTTAAAGGATTTTTATCTCTCCAAAGTTGGGGATAAAAATTTGAATGCCTATATTTCAGAGTAATCCACTTCAGCTCGTAACACTTCATAAATTTAAAAGCCACCAATCCAAAATAGTTTCTAATTTGAAGCATGGAAAAGTACCCTCTTACCCAGCATAATTAGAACTGGTTAATTGAAAATACCTGTTAAATCAGGAAATCTTTAAAAAGTGTAAATATTCAAAATATTTTATTTTCATTAAAATATATAAAAGTATATTTGCCAAACTCTTGTGAGTCCAAGGACTTTTTCTTTGACAGTGATTCTACTATTTTGAGTCTATGTTTGTATTAATAGTATAAACCACAAGAGCACAAACATAGACACTAGCAAAGCAATCTGAATATTATAAAATCTTAGGTTTCATATTTTTTCTCATTTTTTTATAGCCATCTAACCCACATCTAATCCAACTTTTTTTTTTAGTGACTTGTCTTTATTAAGTCTTTCCAAAGCCTTCAACTTAGTTTTTAGTAGGAACGAGATTTATTTTTTGTGATCATATTCCATAAGCTTTCATAATATTTAATTAAATTCCATAATTACAGTAACAAGTCAACTGGTATATACAGGTTTGGAAGACACAGCCGACTCTTTGTCCAGCTGGTGGGAGCAGAAATCCCATGTGTGTGGTGCTATGGATTGCCTGCTAGTGCCATTGGGCATTCATCATCGTGGCTCACAGAGGGAACCCGGAGCAGTATTTAATCCAGGAGGTTGGCTCAGTGAAAGGCAGTTATATAGAGTGCCAGCTGTATTTTCTTGGGCCACACAACTTAGGATTTTCAACTCAAACAGGTCATTTGTCACAATATGATAATATACAGCAAATTATGACTATGGATAACATCATTTGAAGCTGATATTAAGCCCCCTAAAGTATGACTGTATATTAAAATATTTAATATCTATATGTTTATTGCTGTATAAAATATAGTTAAGTAATTCTGTCTTATAATTTTTATATACAAATTGATTCACTGCAATTAGTGCACTAACTCATTTTTCCTAATCAGAACCTTAAAGTGAGTCAGCCCTTTTGCAGGAGTACATCAATGCCAGGTGTAATTTATCTCCCAGCAGCAGGGTATAGCGCTCCTTGGCCTGGATCTCACTCTAGCTAGCCTCTTTATCACCACATATTTTCTCACCACATTCCTCTGTTTAATGCATTTCTGACTTCATTGTGCTAAGTCTCTAGGGAAAACAGTGTACTGTCAACATTATATGTAAATTTTAATTGTGTTTGGCTTATGTTTTTATAAACATCATTATTTGAAAATTTGGTCTTTAGGAGATATTTGGCTTCAACATGTAAGCCCAGACTATTGCTGCAAAGATCCCGGACCAACAGAGGAATCCCACTGTTTGCACTTACTAAAATAAGCAACACAACTGTCAATGTTCTTTTTTCCGGTCCTTTTACTTGCCCACTTCTCTTTGCTCTTTTGTAGTGTGTGTGATGTGTCTGCTGAGCCTCAGCGAGGAGTAAATGATAGTAATAATACAGCTAACATTTACTGTGTTATTACTTTGTGGTTTATGCAGACCTCCTCACTTAGTGCTCATAGGACCCCAAGTGAAGCTGTCAATGAGATAAGTCTAAGTGGTGCAACCTCAGCCTTCCTAGAGAGGCACAAACCAGGCAGTAGGAGAGCATTAAAATTAATCAATCTAGTCCTCTCCCTTTGAGTACATATATGTTTTGTATTTAGCTTTTATGTACATAGTCACCACAATCAAAGTACCAAGGTAATTTGTAAGTGGAAAATATTAAGTTATAGAATAATTGTTACTTTAGCCGACATGGCTGATTGAGGAGACCTTTTCCGAGCCATTACTCACTTCGTTTGCTGTTCCCATAACGGATTTTTTCATTTGCACTGACTACACAATTGTCTGTGAGGCATGACCTCCCTGAATCCCATTCAGAGAGATGCATCAATAGGAAAGAGAGGAGCCCAGGGGTTGCCTTAGCTGTGGTGTTTGTTGCCCCATTGGTCAAAATGTCGGTAGGGTATCTGATGTGAAATGGGGTGTCACTCTCAAAGTCAAGTTAGTGAAGATGCTCTGGTAGGGCAGGCCCTCCCTGCTGCCCAGCAGCCAGGAGAAACTGCCATTATCTGGGCCGAAGCTCATTTAAGAATATTTTCCACTCCCGAAAAGAGGGAAAACTGATGTATGTGCACCCGATAACTTTAAGTCACCAGATTTGACTGTTTTTATTGTTCACCTTCCTCCTATACCTCCACCTCTCCCCACCCTACCCCACCCCCATGTTTTGGAGCACACACGCACACACACACAAAAATCAAGTTCAGCAGTATGCTGGGCCCAGGATTAACCAGTTTGAGGACACCAGCAACTTGGATTTCAGCTCCTACTGTAATGTCCAGTTTTCTTTATTTACGTCCCACCCTCTTGTAATCATTTCTTTAGAATATGTGCACTTAACTTAATCTGTACTTGAAATGACAGCTTTAGCACTCTGATGTACTCTTAATTTTGTTCTCAGAAACTGTGCTTCAAGTTCCAGTTTGTTAACAAGCATCAATAAGTAGCTATTGTATGTTTTAGTGGAGTATTGCATGGTACTGCTAGAACATCAGGGCACCATTCAGCTAAGCTTGTTTGTAAAAGTCTTGCTTATTTTGTTCGTTTTCTTCTTCTTTTTTTTTTAATCCAGTGAGTATAGCAACATTAGGCTTGAAGAAACTATTATAAGATGTCTTCTAATTCAGAGTTTTAAAAAGATAATTCTTCTTCTTTTTTTTTTTTTTTACTGTTGAGACTATTATAAATGCCCCCCATTTCTTCCGCCTTTGTTTTCCTCCCCCATATCCCCATCACCCTCCCCCTAGGCCTTCACCACATTATTGTCTGTGTCTGTGGGTTATGCATATATGCATATTTGTTCTTTGGTTAATCTCTTCCAAGTTCCTCCTACACCTTTCCCCTCTGAGATGTCAGTCGGTTCCATGTGTTTAATGCCTCTGGATCTATTTAGTTTGTCAGTTTATTTTGTTCATTAGA